CTAATGATCTCCTAACTGACAAATCTAATGACCTGTTCTCAATCCTCATCCTTCTTGATCGCTCTGCAGTCTTTGGCGCTGTCCATCACCCTCCCTCCCTGGACATTCTCTTCTCCCTAGGGTTCGGCATCGCTGCTCTCTCCCGGTTCTCCTCCTACCTATCTGACCCCTCCTCAGTCTCCTTTGATGGATGCTCACCCAGTCATGCCTGCTAATGGTAGATGTCTCCTAGTGCTCTGTCCTGAGCCCTCTTCTCTTCTTTCTCTATATTATTTCACTTGGTGTGAGCTCATCAGTTCCCATAGATTCAATGATCATCTTTATGCTGATGATTCTCATACTACTTATCCAGTAGATACTATATCTCTACTAACCTCCAGTCTCACATCTCCAGCTGTCTATTGGACATTTTAAACTAGAGGCTTAAACTTAAACTCAAAGTGTCCAAAACTGAACTCACTATCTTTCCCTCAACTTTCCCCTGCCTCCACCTTCTAGACTTCCCTATTACTGTTGAGGACACCACCATTCTCTCAGTCACCCAAGTGTCATCCTGCATTCCTCACTCTCTTTTTTTTTCTAATAATGTTTTGATTTAAAGGTATACTGTTCAGGTTGGATAGGTATGCATCTTTCTGTCAGCATCTAGAAGAAACTACTTCTAAGAGCCAGAGAATGTTTTATAAAGTGAAAGTGGATCTAATGCCCTTCTAAGACCCACTGACTGTGTCAAAGAGAAGGTGTGTTACTGATTAAGAATCTGTGTCTGCTGTTTAAAGGTTTTCATACCTGTGAATAAATTTTATACAGCTGAAAACCATTTGTACCTTGTGTTAGAAATTATGGTTTCCCCACAAGACTGGAATGCCTTCCCATTTATAACATATTCTCACCCAGTGTCTTAGAGAAGGAAGTATGGGCAGTGGTTTCCTTCATATTGCATGCAATTAAGAGAAAATGATTCCATTTTACCATAGGTAAGTCCCTGCCTCAGCTAGTTTTAAGGAGTTCATAGCCAAGATTATTTAATAACTATTTATTTCAAGTTTCCTTTGCAGATATTTAAACACATTCTGAGAAAACTATAGGTTTCACCAGACTGCCAAAGGGTTCCATGACAAAAATAGTTATGAACCCTTGCCTATAAAGGCTGTTGTCCTCACTCTCTCTCAGTCCACCATCATCAATATGTTGCTAAGGCCTGCCAATTTTGCTTTCATGACATTTTTCAAATACACCCCCCCTTCTTTCCTCTGACCCTGCCACCACCCTAGTACCCCCATCACTTCACACCTGTACTACTGCAATAGCCAGCTAGTTGATCTTCTTGCCACAAGTGTCTGCTTGCTCCAATCCATTCTCCACAAAGCTGTCAAAGTGACCTTCTTAAAGAGTAAATCTGACCATGTCACCTCCCCTGTTCAATAAACTTCAGTGGCTCCCTATCACCTCTAGGGTCAAGTATAAAACCTGTTTGTCGTTCAAAGTGCTTCATGATCTGCTCCCTATCTTTCTAGTCTTATTACACCTTACTACACCCCTCCCCCCTAAACATAATCTTGCAATCCAGTGACCCTGGCCTGCTCACTATTCCTCACACAATCCTCCTCTGGGCATTTTTACTGGCCATTCCTATGCCTAGAATTCTGTCCCTCCTCATCACCATCTCCTGGTTTCCCTGGCTTCCTTCAAGTCCCAGTTAAAATTCCATCTTCTACAAATCCTATTCTAATCCCTCTTAATTCTAGTGCCTTCCCTCTGTTGATTATTTCCTATTTATCCTGAGTATAGATTGCACATATTTGTCTGCATTGTCTTCCCCATTAAATGGTGAGCTATTCAAGAACAGGGACTGTCCTTTACCATTTTTGTACACCCAGGGCTCAGCTTAGTGCCTGATCCATAGTAGGTGCTTAATAAATGTTTATTGACTGACTGAAAGGTTGTATGGGGGAGAGTAGGGAAGAGTGCGGAAAAGGAAGTAGAAGAAAGCAAGCTAGGGCTGTGTTAGAACCAGGGAGGCTGGGTTTAGAGGCATCAGGCTTACCAGCTGGAGTGCCCTGTGCTTAAGGGGCAGAAGGGAATGAGGCTGGCTTCTTCAGACACCTCCTTAGGCTAAGATCCCACCTCATCCCTACCCTCTGTGCACCTGCTCCCCTACCTCTCTTGTTTCTGTGACAAAGGGAGTCAGGTTTGCTCTGCATTAAGCATCCCAGAGGAGGGAACCAGACACCAGTCAGGATGGGTGACTGCAGCTGCTCTAGGGGTGAGGGCTTGGGGCAATGGGTTTGGTGTCCGATCTCATTATCCTTATCAGAGAGCGTTTATCCTACTACTAATTGCCCCTGCGCTGGGTTGGGCGCAGGCTGGGTTGGGCTTCCCGTGGGAAGACTAGGGTCTCCTTTTCATCTGTACCAAGCTGGCTTTTCCTATCATTCCCTGCCTCTACTAAGTTCATTTTGTTCTCCTTTACCTTGATCATGTCCTTTCTTTTAGCTCCAGAATATTGTCCCTCTTTATAATTTTGCAACATTTAATTTTGACTTTGTGGTTGTTACTCTTTCCATTTCCACTTTCTGTCATTGTGTATATTGTTTTCCTGCTTCCGATAACTTCACTTTGTATCAGTTCATGTAAATCTATACATGCCTCTCCATTCAGTGCGCTCATCATTTCTTACAGCAAAATAATATTCCATTTCACCCATGTATCACAATTCGTTTAGTCATGAGGAAACACTTGTTAATGATGAACTGAACTCCCTTCCTTGGCCACAAAGATGATCCTCAGACATATTAGTTTTATAAAGCCCCTGTCTTTCCCCTTTCTATGCCTTTCAGCTCTACTTTCTCACCCTACTGATAGAATATCCTTCATTTTCCTATCCTTGCCCCCCCTCCCCTTCCATTCTCACTCATCCCTTCTCCATCCGCATGCCTTTACTGGTACTTTCTCTGGGCTCAGTGCTGAGTGAAGGGTACACCACAAGAAAGACGGTGATTAAAAAAAAAAGCCAGGGTCCTTGCCCTTGGGAAGCTCACAGTCAGGATGGAGAAACAAATTTCACATCCATCCTAAGTACAGTTAAGTGCGAAGTTTGGATGACAGAGACTTGAAGTATGGGAGGAATTTGGGGGATGGATCAGTGTGGACTTGGGGTGATCAGGGAAGTCTCCCTGAAGGAGGTGGGGTTTGAATGGACCCCAGGTGGCTGACGAGGGTTCGAAAAGACTGGAAGGAGGGAATGGTATATTCCAGACAGGGGGGACACTGGTGCACATGCAGTCCAAGGAAGACTGGGAGGAGATGGGCAAGGCTGAAACAAAAAGGGCGTAAGATGAAGGAGTGGGAGAGGAGAGCAGGCCCCTTGACTTTCATTTCCTCATCTGTGAAATGGGGTTAATGTTACTTGCCCTGGCTCACACACAAGGTTGTTGTGATGATTAAATGAGATAATGAATAGGCAATGATTTCTAGAGAGGCAGCAGAGAAGTAAAGAGAGAATTGGCCTCTGAGTCAGAAGAACTGGATTCAAGTCTCACCTCTGACACACTGGACTCAGTGTTCTAAATTACAAAGAAGGTGTAACCTGTGTTGGTGGAGGGAGTGTCCTTATCTGTAAAGATCAGGAATGCGCCTACACCATTGAAATCACCTGTCTAGCGCCTATTCCTAGAGAAATGTGACCTATAATTACCATAAAAAGTTGCAAGTGTACAGAAGGTGGGGAGGAACTCTCTGGAGCCCTCAAACACCATGTAGAAAAGTCGAGATTAAGGCCAGATATCGTAGCTGCCTCAGGTGTTTGAAAGGTGGTCGGGTAGAGAAAAGATTAGATTTATTTTGCTTCGATTTGGAGGGCAGCCCTAGGTGCAGCAGAAGGAAATTGAAAGAAGTAGACTTTGACTCCATTTAAGTGAAAACTTCCTAAAAATTGCAGCTCTGCAAAAGGGAAAGAGGTTGTCTTGGGAGGTACTGAGTCCTCTAGCACTGGAGGTATCAAATGAAATCATGTGTAAAGAACTTTGCATGCTCATGGCAATGATGGCAGTGGTGGTGATGAAGAAGGCACGGTGAGGATGATGGCAGTACTGATGATAGTGGTGTTGTTGATGATGACAGCAATAATGGTAATAGAGGGAATTCCTATTCGAGGAGGATTGGACTATGATCCCTGAGGCCCTTCTAGCTCCGAGATTCTGTGTTTCTGTGAATGTCAGAGCTTGAAGAGCCGGAAGTCACTTTAGAAAAAAGAATGTCACAGCTGGGAAAAGCCTTAAAACAGACCATTAGAGCTGGAAGGAGATCATCAAGTTTAAATTTAGAGACAGGAAGACACTTGATGGTTACAAAACATTTTCTCACAGGGACATGAAACACAACTTAGCTCAACACACCCAACAAGCTCTAAAAGATATGCTTTAGTTTTATTCTAGGGGTGAGAAAGAGGAGGTGAAAGAGAGGCAAGAAGGGAATGGAGGAGGGAGAATGGCAAAAAGAGAGTGGAATAGAAGGGAGGTCGGGAGGGTAGGCACACCCCCTCTGCCCAGGTGAAGTTCGATAAAGTACTTGCCTCGTTTATGTCCAGGAACCAGGCTTTAAAAAAAAAAATAAGTTGGGGGAGCTCTGCCCTGTTCTTTTCTCCTTTGAGACGTTTCCCTGAGTAAAACGGGGAAGTTAACAGGGTGTTTTGGGTTCAGGGGGCCCAGGACCCCTTCCCTGGTTCCCTCTACCCCTCTCACCCCACTAGGAAGGGCCTGGCCAGTGATGGGGATGAAGGAGGGGCAGGGGTAAGGGCAGAGATGGGGAGGGGTGGGGAGGGAAGGGAGACTGGGGGAGGCAGAGCAGGAAAAAAAGCTCAAGGAGAGAAGGGGATTGAGGTGGTGGAGATTAAGGGGGAGGTACTGAGAAAGGGGCTGGGGGAGGCAGGGTAAGGGACTGGGCTGGGGCGGGTGTTGGGGGGGGAAGGTGAGGCGGGGTTGAGGGAGACTGGGAGGCTAAAGAGCTGCAGTGTGACCGGTGGGAGGCGAGGAGAGGCGGGAGAAGCAAGAGGAGGAGCAGGGGCCCGCGGGTCCCGGGGGATGAGGCTGGCTGGGCTCCCGCCCCGTATTCGGGCAGCATCGCCCAGAGCCCCGAGCCCCAAGCCCCGGGCCCCAAGCCCCGGGCCCCAGGCATCTCCGGCCCCAAGCCCCGAATGGCCGCAGCCCCGGAGCTCGCCTTGGACGTGATGAAGCAGATCTGTCTCTGCGCCACCGCCTCCTTCTCGGTAGGAGCGGGGTAGGGGCAGGGAAGGATGGGACATAGGTGGCAGTGGTTGGGGGGCTGTTGAGTCACCCCTCCCCACACCTGGACCCAGCCCTAACCTGGGCTCTGGCTCCGCCCGGGATCTTCTCAGACCCTTAGAATAGTTCGGGTTGTTTTAATTGGTTGGTGGGGGTGGGTATCGGAGTTTGAAAGAACCTCCTCGGGATGGGGGTGAAGTTTATGGGGGATAGAGTTGGGGAGAAACTTGGGGGGCAGCAGATTTCAGAGCGATAGAGTGGGTGGGTATGCAGTGGAGTGAGCTGAGGTTTAGAAGGATGGGATTTGGGGTTGATAGGGTTTTAGGTTGTGAAAGGTTAGGGATGGAGCTGGGGAGAGGCTGAGGAACATAATGTGAGGGAGTGGGGAGGAAGAAGAGTTCAGAGAGATGGAGTTGGTGAAAATGGGTTGGGGGACTGAATTGGGGGGTTGGATTTTGAGAGATGGGTTTCAGGAGAATGTGCTGGCAGACAGGCCAGGGGCCCTGCCCCAGCCCAGGACTGCCCTTCCCAAACCCCATCCCTGCTCACAGCTATGGCTGAGCCCAGCCGACCTTGGCACCTGCCCCCCCTGTGGCCGATGCCTGATCCCGAGGCCCACAGCGAGAGGCTGGCACCAGGCAAGTTGGCAGGCACAACATGGTGGGTGGACAGGGAAGGGAAAGAACTGAGCCAGCTGGGACTTCAGGTGCCCTACCTCAGGCTGCCCTCTTCCATGCCTGCCCATAGGGCAAGAGCACAAATAAAGGGCTGAGGGGAAGCACCTGTGCTTTAAGCAGTGTTTGGAGATGCCAGCCTGATCTGTTTCCAAGGTCCAGGCTGAGACAGGAACCTAACTGGGAGCTAGCTGGGGAGGAAGGGGAGCCAGTGAGCACAGACTAACCCCATCTCCTGGCTGCCCAGCAGAGCCAGGACTGGGGAAGGAGTGATGAGAAGCTGATGCAGGCTGTGGAGAGTAACGACGCCACTCGAGTCTCTGCCCTGATTGCCCGAAAAGGGCTGGTTCCTACCAAGTTGGATCCGGAGGGCAAGTCCTCGTAAGTGCCCCGCCTAGCCCCCAGGGACCACCAATGAAGCAAGCTAGGAGAGTGGGTCTTTGGTTTCCTTGGGAAGGATAATGCCTTGGGATGAAGGGAGACAATTCCTTTGCTCACTCATTAATTCACTGAAGCTTAGGGCTCCCCTTCCTGCACCCTTCAATTCAGCTGGACTGGCCTCCTCAGTCCCTTTAAAAATGTTTGACATTGGAAAAAAAACAAAAAACAAAAAAAAAGTTTGACGTTTACAGCTCTTTATAACCTGGTCCCTTCCTCCTTGCCAGTCTCCTTATTCCATTCCACACCCTCTATGATCCAGCCACACTGGCCAACTCGAAATTCCTTGAAGAGGATGCTTCCCCGCTCATCTTCAGGCCTTTGCCCTTCGTCCCCCTTGCCTGGAATGCACTCCCTTCTCACTGCAGCCTCCCAGAAACCCTCTCTTCCATTGAGAGCTCAAGTACCATGTTGCACCCATTCCACCCGAAGCATTTCTATATCCCTTCAAGCTTCAGGGCCCTCCCCCACCAGCCACCATGAATCTAGCTACTTCCTATTTATTTGCATTCATTCTCTTTATATTTATTTCATATTTATACATGTGTATGTAGATGTATGTGTATTTTTGTTGTCTCCCCTGTTAAAAGGTAAGCCCCTTGACATCGAGGTCTATTTCATTTATCATCTTTGTAGTCCCATTACCTGGCACAGTGCCCAGAGTAGTACATAGTAGGAGATTAATAATAATAATAATAATAATAATAATAATAATAATAATAATAATAATAGCTAGCATTTATGTAATGCTTACTATGTGCCCAGCATTGTGCTAAGTGCTGTGTAATTATTACATCATTTGATCCTCACAACAAACTTGCAAGGTAGATGCTATTATTATTCTTCCCATTTTACAGATGAGGAAACTGAGGTTGTAAAGAGGTTAAGTGACTTGTCCAGGGTCATACAACTAGTAAGTGTCTAAGGCCAGATTTGAACTCAGATTTTCCTGGCTCCAGGCCCATTACTCTATCCACTTCGGCCTCTACAAATAAATATTGAATGGACTGACTCATTCAACAACTATATCTTAAGAGTCAACTTTGTAGAACACTTGCACTGGGCACTGATAAGAGAAAATTTAGATACACCCCTGCCTTCCTGGAGCTTACAGCCTAGTGGACGAAAAGTGCTGACTGTTTACTGTCATACACAACATTATGTGTGTTTTGGAGGGGAGGGGAGGCCAGGGCTGTAATTTCATCAGTGCGGAGAACTCCCAGTTTGGAAAATTCCTCAACCAGTAAGTTCTGGCACATCGTCTTAGTGTTTCCTGGGACACTGAGAGGTCAACAGACTTATTCATGGACACCCAGTGTGTGTCAGAGACAGGCTTCAGGTCCTAGTCCTCCTGATCCCAAGGTCAGCCCTCTATCCACTATGCCACACTGCCTCTCACCAGTGCATTAGAGAGACACACAATAATAATCATAATTGACATTTATGTCATGCTTTTAAGTTAGCAAGGCATTTTACATACATTTATCCCCCTTGAGCCTCGAGACGACCCTGTGAGAATAATATGGCACACAGCTTCATTTTATGGAGGAAGAGACTAGGCCTAGAGAAATTAACTACCTCATCTGTTGTCGATGGTCACACAACTAGCAAGTGTCTGAGGCAGGATTCAAACCCAGGTCTTCTGACTCTAAGGTTAACGTGCTACCCATTATGCTGTGTTGCTTCTCAAAACAAAGTGCTGGGGCAGCTAGGTGGCGCAGTGGATAGATCACCAACCCTGGAGTCAGGAGCCTGAGTTCAAATGCAACCTCAGACATATAACACTAGCTGTGTGACTCTGGGCAAGTCACTTAACCCCAATTGCCTTACAAACAAACAAAAGCGCTATGTGGGATCCAAGAGGGAAGGGCTTTACTGACCAGGGAGATGAAAGAAAGCTTTCTGGAGGAAGTGGTTAACAGTGAAAGGGGAGATGGAGGACATTTTAGGCACAGGGAAAAGCATAAGGGTTGGGTTAGATGATCTCTGAGGTCCCACCCAATCCAGAGATTTGGTGATTCTGTGTGGACAAAGGCACAGAAGTAGGAAATTCAAGGTATATGCCAGGATGGAGGTTTGCCTGTGTTTTTTAGGAGCAGAGAGTGCTTGAATAGGAACAGTGAGAAATAAAAGTTGGAAAAGTGAGGGGGCACCAGATTAGGGAGTCAGTCAATTGCTTGGAAGAGGGAGATGAACTTCAATTGGCAGATAATAGAGTCAATTTTAAAAATGGCTAAAATGTACATAGCACCTACTATGGGCCAGGCACTGTGCTAAACACTTCACAAATATTATCTTATTTGAAGCCATCAAAGATCTTTTGAGCAGAGTAGTAACACGACCAGATATGTGTACAAGGAAGATTGGTCCTGAAGTAGTATGAGGGACAGATTGGAGGAGAGAGAGAATGCAGCCCATTGCAATAGTCTAGATTCCAGAGGACTGGTGATGAGGCCTGGTAATAGAGTGGCAGCAGTGAGAACAGGGAGGAGGTGGATACGTAGGAAACGCTGTAAAGATAGAATCAAGGGGACCTAAGAGATTGGGTATTAGGTGTGAAGTTCCCCCTGACCCAAGGGACTCTGGGTCTCAGGGTTTGCTTTCTTACTCTGTTCCGGCCCTTAATGGTCTTCAAACCTCAATTCAAGGTAACAAAATCCTGACTTTCCATGGCCTTTGAGTGTGCTTGTCTCCCTGGGCTCAGGGATCAGAACCCTAATGACCTTCCCCATTTCTTTTGCAGCTTCCATCAGATGCCTTTTCATTTTCCCTATCTCTTCTGTACACTCCAAATGATAATAATAATAATAATAATAATAACAATGATAATAACTAGCAAAGTACTTTACAAACAATCTCATTTTATCCTCTCAACAACTCTAGGAGGCAGGTGCTATTGTTATCACCCCCATTTTAAGGATGAGGAAAGTGAGGCAGAGAGAGGTTAAGTGATTTGCTCAGGGTCGCACAGTTAGTAAGAATCTGAGGCAGGATTTGAACCCAGGTCTTCCTGATCCTAGGTCCAGCACTCCATTCACTGTGACACCTAGCTGCCCCTAGACAAAATAGAAAGTTGTACATTGGCAGGGATTGAGGAGAAGAGGAGTGAGTATGTATAAGGAAAAAGAGGGTGTCACAGATTAAGTAATCTTATACAGGGAGTAATTGGCTGGGTTTTTTCTTTAACTCAGCTGTGTTTGAAACTCAGTTTGACCCCAAATCCAGGGCTTTTTCCATTTTGCCTCACTATTTACTAAATTTATCTTTAACTAGAGTTCTCAAGGCCCAGCTTATTATTATTTCAAAGCACTTTCCTTAAAACAACTCTATGACACAGGTAGTACAGTTTTTATCCACATTTTGTTGAAGAGAAAAACTAAGGTTAGGAAGATTAAAAGGCTTGGGTCACAACTATTGAGTGTGAGAGTTAGGAGATGAACACAGGTCTTATGCTTCTGAATCTAGCTTGCCCCTGGAGATAGACCACTTTGCCCCATGCCCGCCCAGGAACGGAGCCTCGAAGACCAGACTGCCTCCACACCAAGTCACTTTTCTGGGCCCTAGCCTGAATGAATTCAGAGGATGGGAATCCTGACCATGTTTCCAGTCAATCAGAAAGTCTTCTGTGCTATCACTGTTTACCTAGATATCTGCCCTCCCCCTGCCTACAGTGGAAGAGGGAAAAAAGATTTTGTGAGACTTGTGTGCACTCTCACACAGAATAAGAGAATAAAGTCAACTTCATACCATACTGATTCCCAAAGTCATCCCAAAGATGCCCCCTTTTGAAGGCCCAAATTTTCCTGTTCCGCATCACCCAAGATCTCCATGACGGTTAAGAGGACAGCTCTGGCTTATCTATGTTGATACACTCCTGGGAAAGAGCTAGAAGTTCCTCCACCCTCACCCCCAACTCCCAGGCAGTATTTGCCCATTTTCATTGGGGCCTTCCAGAGAACCCTCCCCTAACTTTTTTGGCTAAACCATTCATGACTGCAAGGGTGGAGCTTGGAGGTCCCCTGTCCTCTTCTCCCCGACCTCTAGCAATTTAACCAACATCTCAACAGCCTAAAGTTCTTAAGAGAGATCTGAGTTTGGGTATGGCCAGTGATGCTGCTTAACTCCTCTGGGATGTTATGAGGATGAAATGAGATAATGAAATGAGTATGAAAGCACTTGTTATGACTTCTTATTCATTCCATTGCCGAAGGTATGAGCTGGATCACAATGCGGACTTTCTAGGATGGAACTAGATAAAGGCGTTTGGGTGGGGTGGACTGGGGAAAGAGGGCTAGAATGAAGAGAGAACTCTAGAGTGAGAGGTTTGCGAAGAACCAATGGGTCTCTAGAACCATGGTGACATAGGAAGATTTGGGTAGCTGGAGGCAGTGGACAGTCCCCGAGTTGTTAAGAATCCATGAGAAGAAGGGGAGCTTCGAGCTTCGATCACGAGTTCTCCTGTCAGTGACGTCACGCTCAGGAGCTTCCCCTTCCCCACAGGATAAAAGCCAGGCTCTCCACCCTGGCATTCAAAGTCCTTTCCCAACCTTCCCTCTTCAGAGTCACCTCCTTCTTGTTCAACTTGCCTCAAGCGGACGGGATGACTGTCTCCTGAGAACACAGCTCGTGCTCTCCCCTTTCTTGCTCTCTTTTTCTATTCCTTACTCTATGCCTAGAATCCCTCCTCTCCTTCCCTCCACCCCTCACGGCTTCCATTGAGCTGAGCTTGGACCTGAGAAGAAGGAAGGTTCAACGTGTGCAGCCTGAAGGTCAGACAGAGCCGTTGACAGCTCCCCTCCATTAACTCTGCCCCCTAGTGGGGAGGCAGCTCCATCACAGTGCTCCTGCTCACCTCACCCTCACAGGACCCCAGAATTTTAAAGTCAAAAGGAACCACAGCAGCCACCTAGTCCAACCTCTACCAAAAAGAACTCCCCACTAAAATATAAGTATATGATAGTATAAAGGAATTCCCACCATAATGTAATTTATATTACAATATAAAGGAATCCCCACTCTAATATAATTTAAATTTTATAACATAAAGGAATTCCCACCATAACATAATTTATAACATGAAGGAATCCACACTATAATATAATTTATATTTTATAATATAAAGGAATCTTTACAATAATATAAAGGAATCCTCACTATAATATAATTTATATTTTATATTATCCACTATAATATAAAGGAATCCTCACTGTAATATAATTTATATTATAATATAAAGGCATCCCCACAAAACAAGTGGTCATCCAGCCTCTACTTGAAGACCTCTATCCATATGGGGGGGAGGGGTACCCACAACCCCCTCAGGGCCCCAGTGCCTGCTTTCTCTTTTTGACAGGGAGGAGAAGATACATCTGGGAGTGTCTCTCCAGTTATAAGCCAAATCCTGTTCTTCCTAAGTAGAGTGGAGTGGTAGAGAGAGTGGGGCCTGGAGCTTAGGAACACAAATCTGCCAGACTTGTGTGATCTTCTCTAAACCTCAGTTTCTTCATTTGTCATAAGATCATTGAACCAAAGGTTAGAGCTAGAAGGGAATCTTAGAGGAGGTCATCGGGTCCCAACCCCTTTTTTTATAGATGAAAAAACTGAGGCCCGGAGGGGTTAACCTCTTTGTTAACAGTCAGTGACCTGTATCAGGCCATACTGGAAAATGGCAAAGGTAGGATTTGACCCCAAGTCCTGGGTCCCCAATTCCAGGGCTCTTTGCACTGGATTTGGGATGGAATCTTGTCAAATGAAGGGATTGCACTGAATGATGGTGTAGTGGAAAGACATGGAGTTAGAGGAGCTTGGCTTGAAATCCAGCTCTGCTGCTTTTTTGTGTGTCTGACCACGGGCAGGTCATCTACCATGTCTGGATCGCATTTTCCTCTTTCATAAAATGAGTTCAAATTTAAGGACCTCTGCATTTTCTTCCAACTCTAAATCCTCTGACCTCTGATCACTAAGCTCCTTCTAAGGGTCTGTGATTCTGTGAAATATCACTTATCCTTTGATGATTAGTTCCGATGCCACCTCCTCCAGAAGCCTTCCATGGCCTTTTGAAGCTGAATGTATTCCCTCCTTCCTCTTTTCACATGGCTCTTTGTAGCTTTCCTAAGACACCTCAACATTCTACATTGGGGCATTGTTTTCTTGGTGTATGTTATGCCCCCTAAAAACTATGGGCTCCCAGACAGCAGAGACTGTGCTCAGTCAGTCAGTTAATAAGGATTAACGAACACATTATTAAGCATTTTTTCATGTGCCAGGCAGTGCGCTAAGTGCAAGAGATATGAAGAAAGGCAAAAACACTGGGGGAGACAAGATGCAAATAACTATGTAGGTACAAGGTCTATACAGTGGAAGGTAGTCAGAGGGAAGACTCTAACACCAAAGTTTGGGGATGGGGCCTGGAAAGGTCTCCTACTGAAGGTGGGATGTGAGCTGAGTCTTAAAGAAAGCTGCGGAAGCCAGGAGGCAGAGGTGAGGAGGGAGAGCACGCAGGGCCTAGGGAACGGCCATAGAGTGGGGGGGAGCAGACAGAATGAGTGTCTTGTGCAAGGCATGAAAATAGGTCACTGGAGTCGAATCATAGCGTGCATAGAAGTGGGAAAAGCCTGGAAAGGAAGGAAGGGACCAGATGGTGAAGGGCTTTAAATATCAAGCAGAGGATTAGGATTCTGGGCGTGGTATGGGCCACATTTTGGCTGTATTGAATTGAAGGTAGGAGGGTTTAAGAAGCCAGACTTCAGCGTTTTGCCAACACTTGGGATTTTAGGATGGGCAGGAGAGTTGGAGATATTTGGGAGGTGGCCCTTGTGGGTACCCACCCTTTCTGCTTAGATTTAGGGCCCCCTAAGCAGGGAGAGGCCCTAGGGAATGGAGAACTGGGAAAGGAGCACCTTCAGCCCTTGTTATTGGTAGGTAGGGCTGGTGCCTTTAGATGACCCTGGCCACCTCCTTAGTACAGACCATTCTTACCACCCATGTAGCCAGACGACCAGCTATTCTCCCTGTCTCTGCGGTCTCCCCTTTCATCCTGCTCTCAGGCTAGTCTTTCTGAACTCAGATCTGGTCATTTCACTCCTCTGCTTAAAAATCTGGAGTGGCCCAACCTCTTACATAAAATTCAGACTTCTCTGCTTTGCATTTAAGACCCTCCATAGTTTGGCAGCTTTTACCTTTCCAGCCTTGGTTGCTATTCCTTTGGCCAAAATGCCCTCATCTCGCTCTCTGTAACAAGCTCAGAACACTTCTCCCGCCATGTGTTCTTCACCTGTTGAATTCCTGCGTATCCTTTAAAGGCCAATTCATATACTACTTCCCCCAGGCTGCAGTCAGTAAAGATCTTCCCTCTCAGACCTCTCACCCCCTTTCTTTTGTCCCCCAGTGATGCACTTATGTAATACCATGTATGATAACTGTGTCCGTGACTTTAAACTCCTTGCAAGCAGAGAATGTTTTCTTTGTATGTCCTCAGCACTGGACTCTGTACCCATTAGATATTCAATTCAATAAGCATTTATTTGGGACCTACTGTGTGCAAAGCCCTATGCTAGTTTCTGGGAATGCAAAGCCAAGCCTCTGCCATTGGAGAGCTTACATTCTGCTGATTTGAGGGTGAGGTGGAGAGGAAAGCATTAATGGGGAGGGTTTGTAAAAAAGGGAGTTCATTCCAGACATGGGGGACAACCTGTGCAAAGCAAAAGACGGAATGCTGATTTCAGCAAGTAAGCCAGTTTAGATAGAATATAGAGCATGTGGGACGTGGAATAATGTGAAGTAAGGCTGGAAAAGGAGGTGGGAGCCAAGCCATGGAGTACCATAAATGCCATTTTGAGGATTTTGTATTTGTTCTATGGAAAGAAAGCTCCATTTGGAGTAAGAGGACCTGTGTTCAAATACATTGAGTATAAATCACTCTTAAGCAAATCGTTTAAAATTTCCCCACCTTAGTTTCTTCATTTGTAAATTGAAGAGCTTGGTCTAGGGACCTCAAAGGTCTCTTTCAGCTCTACATCTTTGATCCTATAAAATGGGGAGTCCTTGAAATGTCTTGAGCAGAAAAGTGACAGACCTCTGCTTTAGGAAGATTTGGCGGCCATGTCCAGGATGGATTGTTGCATTGTATTGTGTTTGTTGTGTCGTATCATATCCAAGGTTCCATTTGGCTGCTATGCGAGGGGCGGCGGCCTGCCTAGAGGTGATGCTGGCCCATGGTGCCAATGCCATGAGCACCGATGGCTCAGGTAAACACCCTTCTCTCATGCTGGGACCATAGGTGAGGACTAGGGAAGGGCAAAGGGAGGGCCTGACATTGGGGGGTTTTAACCCTGACCCTGTCATAGACTAGAGGCCAGAATGGGGATTTATGATCCCATCGATATTGAGGCAACATGGTATAGTAGATAGATAATGAACTTGGAGGCAGAAAGACCTAGGTTCAGTACTGTGCTGAGCACTCGCTGGATGACTTTGGGTAAATCCCTTCTTGCTAAGCCTCCATTACTTCCTGTCAAATGGAGGATTTGGACTAGAAGATCTATAAGGTCCCTCTCCTGCTCAAACTTTCTGGTTCTAGGAGCCAGGTTTACCCAGGCCTCAACTAATCCAGGGTGGGCAGTGGGATTGCCCTTTTTGCAACCAGATTACTTTTGACTGACCCCTCCTAGTTTAGGAAATGTTATTCCCCAGGTGCCTCCAGGTATGTGTTCCAATGGATTTTCTGTCTTTCAGGTTACAACGCCCTCCATCTGGCAGCAAAGTATGGACACCCTCAGTGTTTGAAACAACTGCTGCAGGTTCACCTCTCTTTGGGCCTCCATTTTCCATCAGCATAGTTTCCAAGGTCCCTCTCAGCTGTGTTCTAAAGTGCATCCTTCTCTGACATTCCCTGGTTAGATCAGGGATCCTACATGTAGACTGCTGTGTCCCAAAGAAGAAAGGAATGTCTCTGGGCCTAACAGGGAGTTAGGAGCACTGGCAGAAGAGGTGGGAGGGAACAGCCATCAACCTAAAGGCCCTTCCTGGTCTGGCCTCCACACTTCTCACCTCCTTTGACCTCCTTTACCTTAGGCATCCTGTGTGGTGGACACTGTAGACAGCAGTGGCTGGACAGCACTCCATCATGCAGGTGAGTACTGAATCCTGACTTTCCCTCCTTCCTCTCAGGCACCAGGTACTAGCCTAATAAGGTAACTGAGCTCCACTGAATTCCTCCAGGTGGGAGTTCTGGAGCCAGTATTGCCTCCTTGACTGGGAGCCCCCTATTCAGCAAGTGTCATGCTTCAATCCCCACCGTAATATAGTGAAAAGCCAGCCCAATCAAGAGATGTGTGTTCTAATCCTAGCTCTGCATGCTACTATATGAACATAGGGAAGTACCTCTTAGAGGCTGTTTCTTAGATAATATAATAAAAACAACTAACAATATTGTATGGGGAAAGTACTTTGTAAACTTTCAAGCACTACAGAAATGTATTTTAGTGGGTGACAGGTCACTGAGAATGAAAATTTGAGGGTGAGGATAATCAGCTTAGTCTTCTGGAGAAACAATCCTAGACTGATCTGGGTTCTAGTTTGGCTCTACCACTGACCTGGGCAAGTTACTGTCCCTCTCTTGGCCTCAGTTTCCCCATCTATACTTCAGCACTTTTAAAGATTCATGATAAATGTGGGCACAACCTCCACTACATGCAGATTACAGCCATCCCTCTCCTTGGTAGACAGCTTAATGCAGTGCTGTGGCTAAAAAATTTAAAAAAATAGTGATGATCCACTTGTCCACACTCTAGTAGATTGACTTCTGTATGCTTAGCTGGAAAGGGACTTGGACAAGACACACATGGCCTGTACTTGAAGGCTTTTCCGAAAGGTAGGAACTGCATACTAATATGTTATCATAATCTGTCAGAACTTGCAATCTGGGACAGGTTGTGAGACTTACTAATGCAGCTAGCAAGTGTCTGAGGCAGAATTTAAACTCAGGCCTTCCTGACTCCATACACTACTCTACCTAGCTCTCTCTAACTTTGAAGATGTCTCTTCATAGCAGTTCATCTTCGGTCTGGGATTACATCTCAATATTTGAACCCTGAACCAGGACCAGGGCACTCTTTATAGAACTGAGGGGTACCTCAGTGGTCATCTGTACAACCTCCTCCTTTTATAGATGGGGAAACAGGCCCAGAGAAGGGGGGAAAAGCTCATAAGAAGTATTCAAGCAGGGAGCAGAACCCAAGTCTTCTGATTCCAAAGCCTGTTGTGAATTTATTCCTCTCCGCCCCTAATGGCTCCCTTCCTATCCTCTTCTGTCCCTCCCACAGCGGCTGGTGGCTGCCTGGCCTGCTCTGAATTGCTTTGCTCCTTCAAAGCCCATCTGAACCCCCGAGATCGGGTGAGCCTTCTTTGCCCCTGGACAAGGTGTGAGCATGCCTTTTACCCAGCCTGAGTCAGGCAACATCCTCCTCTTCCTAGTCTCGTTCTCCCATGTTCTTAGGACTTCACTTTGGGGTTGGGGATGCCCTCCCAAAGAGATGTAGTAGGAGGGCCGAAGCCTACCTGGAGTTCTCTTACCCCCACCTGCACCCCTCTACCCTCAAGGCTTGTCATTTCATGCTTTCTCTTGCTCTCCTCACCCATCCTCCCAGTCAGGTGCAACTCCTCTTATCCTGGCAGCACAGATGTGTCACCCGGAGCTCTGTCGTCTCCTCCTGCAGCACGGAGCTTCTGTGAACGACCGGGACCAACAGGGCAGGTGAGTATGCACGTCCGCTGAAATAGTCCCTGGGCTTCAGCTGAACGGAATGAACTTTTGGAACTGGTCCAGAGGACCTGACCCTTGCCCCAATGATTTCCTCTTTCTCAACTTTTTTACATCTTCACTGACCATGGAATACAAACTCATGTCTTCATTTCCTTTTTTGTCCCAGGATAAGAACTCAGTTGCCTTAATGTTCTTTTCCCCTTTTGCTGTGGCCACTTGGACCTTAGGGTCCAGTTCTAGCATCTGCTCCCACCCTCCCATCTCCTTCCTGTGTTGGCCCAGTGGGCCACTTTCTCTGATTTCCTCACAAGGGTGTAGAAATATTAAAACTAAAGTTATGTTTGGAAAGAGTCTTGTGCTTAGAGGTAAGACTCCTAGGACCCAATCCCAGCACAGAATGGGACTGAGCCCCAGCTTCATCATGAGATAAAGCACAACCCATCTCCACATTCAAATAATTAAAATACAAAAACAAAACAGAAGCAGTCTCTGCCCTCAAGGAGCTTCCCTTCTATTCAAACAATTCAACACACAAGCTGACAAGTATCTATGTGAGGTATGGGGGAGGAGGGGAGCACTTACACCCAAGAGGACCAGGAAGGGTTTTCCAAAGATGTTGGCATACAAGATGAGCTTTAATAAATGTTTATTGGATTATATTAAAGAAAGCTAGAGACTCTAAGAGGAGGTGGGAATGCATTCCAGGCCTGATGGACAGGCTGTGGCAGGAGATTAAAGTCTCAGTGGGGGAGGGACATCAGCTGGTTTGTCTGGACTATAGATTGCGAAGAGGAGAATACGGTACAGGTTGTTGCTGCACAGAATGCTCATTGTAAACATTCAAGCATTGTAGAAACCTGATTATTACCTGTCCAACTGAACAGCGCCTAAGCTTTCATGGTCCTCTCCTGGCCAGAAACCGGCCCCCTTGTGGTCCCAAAGAGAAGTAGCATCTTCCTCAACGGAACGTCATTCCACTTGAATTTGGGAATCCACTCACCCAAGTGTTTGCTCAGATAAGAAAACTGAAGGCTCAAAGGGACCTTGGAGAGATCTCTTCCAACTCCTTTATTTTACAGAGAAGTAAACTTAGGCCCAGAAGGATTGAGATGCCCATGGTTACACAGGCAGTGAGTGGTATAGCTAAGGTATAAAGGCCTCCGATGTAAGATCCAGAACCCTTCTGACCACACCACACCTGCTGCCTGTACCTCTGCCCCAGGAGCAAAAGCAGATCTAAGCGGAACAAGTGGGAGGCTAGAGGTTTTGCCACAAGGTGCTACAAATCTCTCTCCTCTGGCTACCTTTGTGGGAGGTGGGAGAGGGCAGTCTCTCTCCCTTCCTATCCAGGACAATTTGAAATACACATGTCAGTTGAAAGGCGGTGAGCCTTGATCCCTTCCATCATCAAAGGTTAGCTGACAAATTAGTTGTCACCTTGGGCGTCACACATCAGCCAGGATAGGTGCAAGAGTAGCTTTGTGTGGGGGCCACATTTGGGCCCTGGTTTTTCAGGATGGACAAACAACGGGACACCTGGGCCCTCTGCATGCAAACAAATTGCTTCTCTTTTAAGGGCTCAAAGAGGGATACTTCACAATTTGGTCCTCTGTGCCAGGGGTGTGGGGGGGTGAGAAGTCCAAAATAGGCACAACAGAATTGAAGTGAGGACAATAACCCAGGTGAAGGGGGTTATCTTTGGCCCTCTTCCAACTCCCCTTCCATACCCCTTTCTGTCACAGGACAGCTCTGATGTTGGCATGTGAGGCGGCCAGTCCAGAGACAGTGGAAGTGCTGCTACAAGGAGGCGCTCGGCCTGGGCTCACGGATGCCTTGGGCCAGGATGCTGCACATTATGGAGCCATAGCAGGGGATGCTCTGATCCTGCACCTGCTACAGGAAGCCACACAAAACCAGGTTCTGACTAGCGGTATGTGCAGATGGAGGTGATGTGCGAGGTGGGCAGAATCCCGCCTTCCTTGGGATTTCCTACTTGCATTTCCCAGCCCTGCTCCATCTTCAGGCAGTTTTACAACTCTTACCACTTCCCCCACCCCCACGTCCAAGAGGGCTTCTCTCCTTCCCTGATTGGACCAACGTCAAGGCACTTCTCCACTCCTGCTTTTTGTGATCTGCATATTCCCCTACTCCTTTGACAATCTGGGTGCACCTTCACCACCACCCACAAATCACTGTAAGGTTTTCACAAGTTGGCCCTCCATCAGACCTCCCAAAGTTAACTGCATCTGGGGTAGGAGTCACACTGGGACCCAACTCTGGGTCCCTGCTGGATTTAGCGACAAGTCCCCCAGCCCCTCCCAGTACCTTCTCTGCAGCTGGGGGGGGGGGTCATGGGAGGCAGAGAACCAGGGTCTTTAAGCTGGGACATTAACTACTGCTTTTATCTCCACCTACTACAGAAGAGGAGTCAGCCGAAGTGTCTTCTCAGGTATCAGTCACCAAGTCTTTACTGAGGTCACATCCAGCCTTGTGTGACCAGCCCTGTGTGCTAGGTTGAGGGGGTAAGAGGAGCAGCCCTGCCTTTGGGAACTTCCAGTCTTGGGGAGACAGGGGAACAGATCTGGCCCTGCCCTTTGGTAGCTCCCAGCCTGGTGGGAGACAAAACTCAGGGGGAAACAGCAGTATAGGACAGTGTAAAATCAGCTGTGGAATTGCATGGCTTAGATTCTAAGATCTGGGCTGTTGAAATTCAGAGATCAGTATGCGCTGGAGAAGTCAGGGAAGGCATCTTAGAGAAGATGGGACCTATACCATGTTTTCAAATTAAATACTTGAATAAAAACCCCTTTCCTCCACTCCTCTTTTTAGCCACTTGTACTCTGGGTGGGTAGAGATAGTAGGCTAACAGTTGGAGTGGTACACAGCCCTATCCACTCCCTCTCCAATGAAATTCTGATATCAACTCCATTCTACCACATTACTGAGGCCCAAGGAAAAGTGACTTTCAAGCAAGTTAATGACGGAATCAGTACTTTAGAACCTAGGCAAATGGGAAGGGGGTGTTATAGTGCTGGAAGGATGATTCCCCTACGTTCATGTTTCCCTCTGTAGACGTCACAGTCCAGTCGGGAAAAGGCAGCAGCCCCCAAGAAGAGGAAAGCCCCTCCCCCTCCTGCTAGCATCCCTGTCCCGGTAGGGAGATGCCCTGAGGATGGGGTGGGTGGAGGGAGAGAGCTCACATGGAAAGTCCAGGCTTGTGGGGGCACCCCATCTTGTGCATTTCTCTCTCCCAATCTGGAGGTGTGAGGGGCAAATCTGATGGTCCAGGGGCCTAAGGCTATCGACTACCCTAGGATGACAGGGAGGCTTATGAGGAGATTGTACGTCTGAGACAGGAGAGGGGTCAGCTCCTCCAGAAGATTCGAGGCCTGGAACAGCGGAAAGAGAAGAGAGGCAGGAGGCGAGAGCTGGGGGAAGGGGCACTCCAGATTACACTTGTGTGTGCTGGGGGGGAAGGGTCAGGGAAGGAACAGGCCCAATCTGGAGGGAGGTAGAGAGATACGGAACACAGGAGGAGGAGACAGAACCTTATGGGAGAAGTCATTACCTTGGAGTAAGAAGGAATGGGGGAGGGTGGTAAGGGGGTTCTGAGGCCACAGGCTCAGACCATTCTTCTTCCCCTCTCATAGCACCTGGAAGCAGAAGACAGCTCTCTACAGAGTCTGGAGAAACAGGTTGGCCTGGGGGGTGGAAGAAGTGGGAAAGAGGGATTGGTAGGAAACAGGGAAGAAACACAGAATGCTATCAGGCCAGGCCTATGGGGCCCACTAGGGGATCCCCCACTGATGGCATTTCCTCCCAAGCAGCCTTTGCACTCTGCTCTCTGTGGTGGGCAAAAGCCACCTCGAGGGAGGCAGGTCATGCAAACTGCTCTCCCCATCCTAGGTGCAAGAGCTGCAGCAGCTGTTGGCAGAGAAACAGGAAGAGAAGGAGAGTCTGGGCCGTGAAGTGGAAAGTCTGCAGAGCCGCCTGTCCCTTCTGGAGGTGGGGAGCAGGGAGAGGAAGGCAGCCACAGACACACATGAATACACATGGATATAGAGGGAGACACATACACACTGATCCACATATATGCCCTGGAAAAGCTCAGAGAGTAAATCCTTGCAGGGGGCTAGAAGTAGAGGGCAAGGGGGTGGTGTTTAGAAGAGTGACAAGGAACCCCCAAAAAGGTAGAAGCCCCTTTCTACATTGACTGAAAAGACCAAGCAGCCCACAGGTTTTCTCCTATACCCTGACTGGACAAGGTGGGAGAGTGGGGAGCTCAAGTGATGACCACTAAGAGGGGACCCCTGACCCAGACTCTGCCTCCTCTCAGAATGACAAGGAGAATACCAGCTATGACGTGGCCACACTGCAGGATGAAGAAGGGGAATTACTAGACTACCCAGGTTTGGATCCAGCCCAGGGGAAAGGGTGGGTAGGGAATCCCTTTGGCTTTGTCATGCTGCTTCATTTCCCACAGAGCTAGGGCCTTATTCTCCCTAACCCTCCAATTCCTGCCCCCACTGAACTAGACCTGTGAACTGTGCAGAAGTTCAGAGCTGAGAAAGACCTTAGATACACATACTGTCAAAGCTGGCAGGGGGCCAGAAAGTCCAACTTCATTCTATAGGTGAGTAAGCAGATCAAGAAAGGGGATGAGATTTGCCCAAAGTAACACAGTGAGTCAGTGAAATGCCTGGGACTAGAACCTAGGCCTCCTGGACTTCCACCCTAGCTAGGACTGTCTCACATCCCCTACAAGGCTTGCCACCATCTTAAAAGAGGGGGACCTCACCTCCATTCCATACAAGAGAACCCCTGCATTCTAACCAAGGTCCCAACTCAAAGTATAGACTAAGGGTTTGAAATTCAGGCCCTGAATGGAATCTGGGAGCCTACCAGCCTCTTCCTTCCCTTGAGTAGCACAAGATAAGGGACTTCCAGCCTAAACCTGGATAGTAGAAAAGCTGGCTCCTCCAACCAAATTCCCTATTTTTCTCCGCTGCACCCTCATCTTCCTGGTCTTCCAGAGCTGAATAGTAGTTGGCCTTCTCTTCCTGTAGCTTTGATGTATTTCTAAGAGGACTAAATTTGGAGTCACAGGAGCTGAATTAAGCTCACTGCTATGCTACCTGCATGACTCTGGCTTCAAGTCTTCTTACTGATGATGCTTCTAAAGCAGAGGTTAACTTTTTTATGTCATGAAGCCCTCTGGAAGTCTGGTGAAGCCTATGGACCCCTTCTCAGGATTTTTTTAATTCACTAAATCAGAAGAAATGCTAAATTTTAGCTAGAGGTTAAAGTAAAAATAAAGATGCAGCTTTTTTTTTCCCAATCCAAGTTCACAAAGCCCCTGAAATCTTTCCATGGACCTCAGGTTAAGAATCTGTTGTAAATCACACCTCTTCACTTTCCCTCACATATCCCTCCCCACTCCCACACATATTAGTCCCTGCACCTCTCTTACCTGGATTACCGTAACAGCCTCCTAAAAGGTCTTGCCTCCAGCCTTTTCTTTTTCCAATCCATCTATGATGTGCTGCCTACTCTCACTAAAGCATAAGTCTGACCATGGCAATCTCCTGCTGAAAACTTTAATGCCACCTATTGCCTCTAGGATACAGTAGAGATGGCTCAGCCCAGCATTCAAGATGCTCCAACATCACGCTCCAAAATCACCTTTCTAGTCTGCCCCTCCACACATACACACACATACAGCCAACCAAACTGAACCACTCACAGTTCCTGATCTTGACCCGACACCTCTCTTCCTACATATGCGAAAGTCATCCGGAAGCTGACAATTCACTTCCTCCTTTCTGTCTTTTGAAATCTTCCTTCAAGACTGATCTCATATATCTTTTTCTCTAGGAGGCCCCGATTTCTATCAGCCCTCACCAGCTTCCCTCCCCACTTCATGTTTTCCTAAAATATTTTGCTGGGCCTCTCCTTGGCTCTCATTTTACCTTATGTTAGTTACGTCGATTTTTCTTCCTACTAGATGGTAAACCCTTTGAAGGTGAGACTTTCATCTCAGGATGCCCCTAATTCTTCACTTCACAGACTGGTAGGAAATATGATTTTTAAAAAACGTGTTTCTGCAGGAGTCGATGGGCTGCTGTCCAAGGGGCTGAGCCCTGCTGCCCAGGAATTGCTAGCCTCCCTACAGGACCAGGTGGCATCACTTACCAAGCAAAACCAAGAATTGATGGAAAAGGTCCAGGTACAACCCAACTTTATCCTGCTCTGTGTTTCAAAACCTGAATCCATTCCTTTTCACTTTCCAACCCCCTTCCTCCATCACTCCACTTCTCCCCAGGCCCCTCCTCCAGGGAGAGGATGATTTTAAAGATGAGGCCTAGAGAGTGGAAATCACTCCAGCATGGTCACCAGGTGTGCCACAGAACATTACAGTGGGAAGAATCTTTAGGGATAATTTAGGCCAAACTTCACACTTCACCTCTAAAGTGACACCAATAATAGCTCACTTCTATAGTAGGTTAAGCATTCAGTTTTGTTTTTCTTCCAAAACCCTGGGAGGAAGATATTATACCTATTTTACAAATGAGGAAAAAGAAGCTCAGTGATTAAGTGGGGGAACTAAGATTTGAAGCCAGACCTCCAATTCCAAGACCAGGGCTCTCTTTCCATTATCTTCAGGCTTCTTGGTCTCATGTGGAGATGGATGCTGAGGTCCATGGGAGGGGAGGCCTTTTCCTCCATCACCCTTTTCACACCCCACATCTCTTCTGATGCTTACCAGTGCGTCAGTACTTTGGTCTAGTCCCTTCACTTCCCCCAGTTTCTTCAGCTTCCAAAATGGAGTGGGAGGTAGACTGGATGGGCCTTTAACTCATCTTTCCTCTTATCTTAGATCCTGGAGAACTTTGAGAAAGACCAGATGGACTTGGAGACCTCAGCAGACTTCATCCCCATCCTCCTCTATGACACTCTGAAGGCCGAGCTCGAGCAGGTCCGGAAGCTGCATGAAGAGGCAGTCCGGGCTCTGGAGCATCGGGGAGTTGAAGAAGAGCCCCTGGGAACACTGGAGAAGGAGGGGAAGAAAAGGTGAAGGAGGATGAGACCGAATGGAAGGAGGAGAATGAAAAGGACAAGGATGAAATGGAAGTGGGAAAAGAGAAAGTGAAGGAGAAAGAAAAGAATGAGACCGAAGTGAAAGAGACAGAAAAAAATGAGAATGAAGTGAATGGGAAAGAGGAGAAAAAGGGCAAGATGGAAGAGAAGGAGAATGATAAGGTAGTGACAGCAGTAGGTGAGGACCAGGATGGAGTGGCTGCCACACAGACCAACCCAGAAGAGCCTGAGATTCCAGGGCCTGCGGCTGATGAGAAGCCCAAGGCCAGCCCAGCCGAGGCGTCGGAGAAGCTGCAGGAAGAGCTGGAATCTCGAATCCGGGCCCTGGAAGAGACCCTGCGGCAACGGGAGCGGGAAGCAGCTGCAGAGCTGGAGGTGGCCAGGGGCAAGTGCGAGGCGGCCGAAGCCGAGGCCGGCCGTCTGCGAGAGCGGGTGCGGGAGGCGGAGGGTTCGGCCAACGGCGGCGGGGGCAGCAACGGTGGCGGAAGCAGCAGCCGAGGGGGCGGGGGTGGCGGTGGCAGCGGCGACTCCGCGCAGCTGAGGGCGGCCCTGGAGCAGGCCCGCGAAGACCTCAGAGACCGCGACGAGCGGCTCCGGAAACTGGAAGCCCGGGCAGAGGAGGCCGCAGCCCTGGAAGCTGAGCGGGACCAGCTGCGGGTGGAGATGGAGACAGCACGAGGGGCGCAGCGGCGGCTGGAGGCGGAGGCCCAGGAGCTGCGGGAAGCGCTGGAGCGCGGGGTCCGGGAGCAGCGGGAGGCGGAGGTGCAGCTGGAGGGCCTTCGTGAGCAGCTGGCCTCCACGTGCGTGCCCCGACGCCAGCACCTGGAGACCGTGGAGGAGCTGGGCCGGGCGCGGGAGGCGGCCGAGAGTCGGGCGCACGAGCTGGAGAGTGTGTGCGAGGAGGCCCGGCGGGGCCTGGCCGAGCTGCGCGAGGCTTCCGAGGTGGCGGCCAGCGAGCTCCGCGCCCGGGCGCAGGAGCTGGAGCAGGAACTCGTGGTCAAGGGCAAAGAGGCCGCGCGGCTGCAGGCGGAGCTGGAGCGCGAGCGGGCGGGGAGCGTGGCGCGGTCCGAGCACGAGCGCGTGGCGGGCGCCCTCCGCGCCGAGGCCGAACAGCTGGCGGCGCGCCTCGACGAGCTGGGGCGGCGGCACGAGAAGACGAGCGCCGAGGTGTTCCAGGTGCAGCGCGAGGCGCTCTTCATGAAAAGCGAGCGGCACGCGGCCGAAGCGCAGCTGGCCACCGCCGAGCAGCAGCTGCGCGGCCTCCGTGCCGAGGTAGAGCGCGCGCGCCAGGCTCAGGGCCGAGCGCAGGAGGCCATGGACAAGGCCAAGGAGAAAGACAGGAAGGTGTGGGGGTGGGGTCGTCAGAGGGGCGGGAGGAGGGCAGGGTGGAGGGCAGCCTGGAAGTGGGGAGGATTCGGAGTGGAGCATCTTGTTGATTGATGGACTGGGGATGTGGTGGGGGGATAGAATGGAAGACTTAGGAATGGCTGAAGGAGTTGGGTGGGATTGAATAGTGGGCCCACAAAGTGCGGAGGCGTATGAAGTGGAAATACAATGGTGGGGATGAAATGGAGTAATCCATAAGAAATGGAGGGTGAGGTGAAGAAAGGGCAGTGGTAGGAGGAGATTGGTGGGAAGAAACGATGTGTGGAAGGAGGCTGGCATGGTGGACGTATGGGAAATGATGGGATGGGATGAACTGGACAGAAGGGAAGTGGGGGACAAAGTGGAGATTGGGTGGTGTTCACACTGGTATGGAAATGGGATGAGGTTCAGCGGTAAACAAATCAGAAGTGGGGGACTGAATGGGGACAGAGTGGTGGTCTGGCAGAAGGCAGCAAACATCGTGGTAATGGATGTTAGAAACAGTGGAATTGGTTAAAGGTGGCCAGAGGTAGGGAATGGGCCTAGGGGCTGGGTTTGTCCCTTTGTGAGCTGAGGTAACCTTGTGCCAGGGCCTTTTATTAGGAAGGTGAAGAGACTGGAAAACACCTGCATTTCCCTTGAGGCCCCTCAAAAGACCAGCCCCCGAAAATTATCACTGTCTCTGAGCTGCAAGGCCCTATGAAGATTATGGCCAGTATAACCTATGGCCATCAGTCAGGAATCCCAGGCTTCACTGGCATTTTGTGGGCTGGTATTTGCATTAAATGATGAGGCTGGGATCTTTTGTAGGAGAGCCAAAAGGCAAAATTAAAAACCCTTAACCCCACAACTGACCTGTGGAGTGGAGAATATTGTACTACTTTCCATGTTCATAGCCAATGGATCTTTCTAAAGCAATTTTGAAGATTATTTTCTTGAAACTGCTCCCATTTTATGGCAGAGGAAACTGAGGCTCAGAGAGAGATTAAATGATTTGCTCTAGATCATGCAGTGAGTTGGTGATAAAGCTAGGACAAGAAGCCAGGAAGTTTCTGATCTGCCTTCTTGGACTGTCTTTGCATTGCCTCCTTTCCTACCTAGATGTGCCCTGGGTGGGATGGGGGAAGGGAGACATGTTTCTTTAACTTAGATGAGACTTTGCAGTTACTAGTGCCCCATCCCCTCCACAGATCACAGAGCTGTCTAAAGAAGTCTTTAGCCTCAAGGAGGCCCTCAAGGGCCAGCCTGTTGCCCCTCCATCAGAGGTGGCCACCCTCCAAGGCCAGGTGAAAACACTACAACAGCAGCTGGAGGTGAATGGGCACTCTGGGTTTGGGGATTGCCTGGCTTGGGCTCCACATGGAGAGGAGAGGATAGGGAGGTCCAGGACTCCCTTCCTTATTGCTCATCCGTGTGCCTCTCACATAGGACACACGGAGATGTCACAGCACAGTGGTGGCCTTGTATCGGAGCCACTTGCTTTATGCCATCCAGGTCAGTTTCCCCTCCCCCACTTGGGACACAGGAGGAGGTGGGGCTGGGTCACTGGGCCTAAGCTGGTAGCAAGCAGAGGTGGATTGTCAGAAGTGTGGCATTATGGGACCAGAAAAGTAGAGGACTCTGAGGGGAGAAACTTGCAGTCAAGACTGGCTTCCTGGTCTAATATGGGGAGAAACCATTTGGATTGCTTGGGGTATCGGGGTCATAAGAAAAGCCTCAGAAGATCCCCAAAACCCAGGTGGAACCTGTCAGTCCAGTAATCACAGGATACCGCTAAGGTGAGTTAATTTCCCAGACCATTACCTCAGCCACTATTTTTAAAATGCCCTAGATTATAAAGGGGAAATGCGCAAGATTCTTGAATGGGGATGGCTCAGAAGGTTAATGCTACTTCATTCATTGTCTCTCTCAAAGTGTATGAGGAGGAAGGCTTTGCCATAGGGTGACACCCTCTCCCCCATCCCAGCAATAATATCTTCTCCACCCCAGGGTCAGATGGATGAAGATGTCCAGCGAATCCTGAATCAGATCTTACAGATGCAGCGGCTCCAGGCACAGGGCCGATGAGAGGGCTTGGGCCCTGGCCTCACCCTCCAGAGTCTGGCACTGCCCAGGGCACACCTTCTGGACCCAGCCATCACTCCAAACACAAGCATACCTTTTGGACCCTGGCACTGCCCAAGGCACACCCAGTAGAGTCTGGTACCACCTCCAAACCCAGACAGTCTCTGGACTTTGGGCCCCCCCCCATTGCCTTGACAGCTCATCCCACAAATGCCCCCTTTCCCCAAGCTATCTGAACACTAATAGAAAGGGGGGAGGTGGTGGGGAGGGATTGAGACAGTGGCAAACAGCCTCCAGAGCCCAGGATCCTGTGATGATCTCTCAGCCCATGGCCTCCCTATCCAACACACACCAATAAACTTATTTATATTCACAGAGTGGAATGTTGTGTGATTGGTCTCTGTCAAGGGATAGGGAGAGGAGAGCTCCTCCTTAGCTCTGTTACCTTGGTCACGTCCTGTTTCTGGTCTTCAGTTTCCCCATCTGTAAAATGAGAAGTTTGAAGAGCTAGCATTACAAGCAGGGAAGAAACATTATGGGCATCCTCACTAAACATGGGTAACAAGCAAGGTTCTCAATGGTTACCAGTCTTATTTGAAAAAGTCTTTAAAATAATAACTATTGATAGTCTAGGCTCTCATTAATATGGATATTCTCTCTCAGAAGGCAGATCACCATTCATTCATGCTTTCTCATCCTACACTACCATATCCTCCCATGAATCCTTCACTTGTAGGTAAGGCAGGAAAAATAAAGAAATGAGTATTGACAATGAAGAGGTTTTCAGAGGCTACTGATAACCATAGATTGTTGGACTTGATAGGGTAGAGTGTTGGGCTTGAAGTCAGGAAGACCTGAGTTCAAATCCTATCCTTAAACACTTACTAGCTTTGTAACCCTGGATGAGTCACTTAACCTTTCTCTGCCTCATCTTCCCATCTGTAAAATGAGGACAATAGCACCTACTTCATAGGATTATTGTGAAAACCAGGTTAACGTGAAGAGAGCTTTGCAAACCTTAAAGTGTTATGTAAATACTAACTTATTAAGTTAGTATAGCACAAGCTCTTCCTAAGTTGGAAAGGTTTGAAGGCTCAGTGATGGACTGAAAGATCAGGCTAGATATGAGAGTCTAAGACATTACCATGATGTGACTACAGCAGTGAATTTTTGGGTCAGCAATTCTCAAAGGCCATCTAATAACTCACAGTAATAAGGGTATTAGCTGTTTATTATGACGGACAATTTTGCAGAGTATGACATGCATTTGGAAGGAAAACTGGTAGGCTTGTCCTTCAGGCTGCAGATGTCTAAGAGATAGTTCAAATGGACAGTGAATTAGGCTTGAAATTAAACTGGAAGAGGGGCTGATCTCCTCCAGGAAGTAGCCAAGCACTTTAAGGGTCTACCCAGCTCTTTAATCTCTGCTTTGTACCATGTGGTGGCGGCTTGAGACATGGAACACAACTATGTGAGGAACCGAAAAGAAGTGTCCTCCAGAGGGTAGTGGAGAGGCCCAGAGTGAGTGTGAGCAGGTAGCAGCGTACAGAGAGAAACTTGCAAGAAGAAAAGCAGTAATGATGTCATCCAAGAAATGCATGAAACTGAACTCATTCTCTTTTCCCCCACACTCTCCCCTCTTCCTAACTTCTCTGTTGCTATTAAGGGAACCACCATCCTCCAATTACCCAATTCCACATCTCTGGTCCACACCCCCTTCCTCCCCTGACCCTGCCGCCACTCTGCTGCTGGCCCTCGTCACCTCACATCTAGACTATTGCAGTAGCCTGCCAGTTGGCTTCCCTGTCTCAAGTCTACCCCAATGCAGTCCACTTAGCGCCAAAATGAGCTTCCAAAAGCACAGGCTTGAATTTGTCAAAAAGGGCAGCTAGGTGGTGAAGTAGATACAGCACTGGTCCTGGAGTCAGGAAGACCTGAGTTCAAATTCAGCCTCAGACACTAGCTATGTGACCTTGCGCGAGTCACCTAACCATGTTTGCCTCAGTTTCCTCATCTGTAAAATGAGCTAGAGAAGGAAATAGCAAACCACTCCAGTATCTTTACCAAGAAAACCCCAAATGGGATCATGAAGAGTCGGATGCAACGGAAATGACTGAACGACAAAAAAGCAACGAACGTGTCAACCCCCTTCCATTCGATGAATTCTAGTGGCTCCTCATCACCTCCAGGATCAAATATAAAATCCTGTTTGGCATCAAAGCCCTCTATCACCAGCCCCCTGCTATAATTCCAGTCATCTCCCACCTTATCCCCTCCCAGGTGCTCTTTGATCTAGTGAGACAGGCCTCTTCGCTGTTTCATGTCCAGACTATGCTTTCCACTGGCTGTCTCCCATACCTGAAATTCTCACCCTCCTCATCTCTGCCTCCTGGCTTCCCTGTCTTAGCCAAAATCCCACCTTTGTAAGCAGTTTTTCCTAATCCTTAATGTTACTGCCTTCCCTCTGGGATTATTTCCAAGTTCTTCTATATGTATCTTGTTTGTACACACAGTAGTTGCTTGCATGTTGTCTCACTTATTAAACTATGAGCCCCTTGAAAGCAAGGGACTGTTTTGGCCTTTCTTTATATCCCCCGTACTTAGCAGGACAGTGCCTGACGCATAAGAGGTGTTTAATGCTTATTGATGACGAGGTGAGTCACATGACAAGGGCAGCCTGTGCTGTGACACCATCCATAGGATATCAGAAGAAATGGAAAATGGCCTTCAGCATGTTGTCATATGAGACAGGAAGGCATGGATAAGACGTAATATGTACCAGTGAAAGAACATTACAGATCCATTTGGGTCTTAGCTGATGCATAGAACTTTTCAGATTTACAAAATAGTAGCAAAACAGATGGTAGCACAGTGGATAGGGCACCAGTCTTAAGAGTCAGAAGACCTGAGTTCAAATCTAGCCTCATAAACTTGCTAGCTTTGTGACCCTGGGCAAGTCACTTAACCTCTGGGTACCTCAGTTTCCTCAACTGTAAAATAGGAATAATAATAACACCTACCTTCCAGGTTACTGTGAGGATCAAATAAGATATGTGTATAGCATTTCCTTAGCACAGTGCCCGGCACACAGTAGGTGCTATATAAATGCTTATTCCATTCCCTTCCTTTCCCTTCCCTGCCAAAGGGTTACCATCACTAGTGAAGGGAGTACCAATCAATACTAATGAAATCTTTGTTGTGGTTCAGCCATTTTTCAGTTGCTTCTGACTCTTTGTGACCCCATTTGGGGTTTTCTTGGCAAAGATACTGGAGTGGTTTGCCATTTCCTTCTCCAGCTCATTTTACAGATGAGGAAACTGAGGCAAACAGGGCTAAAAGTGACTTGACCAGGGTCATAGGTACTGTCGGAGGCCATATTTGAACTCAGGAAGACTCCGGGCCTGTCACTCTATCCACTGCGCCACCTACCGGCCTCCTCATGAAATTACAGAATATTTAAATACGAAGAAATAAGGCAGTTAAAATATTTCTCTTAACAGATGATATATTTGTACATCTAGGAAACCCAAGGCAAAGCGATCAAGGCAATAATTACTTAAGCAGTTTATCTGCTGTAAAATAAAAACACCAAAGTCATCTGCATTCTTTTTTTGTCTTGCTGTTGCAGTGGATAGAGAGGAGGTCTTAGAGTCAGGAAGACCTGAGTTTGAATCCTGCTGTGATCACTTAATCTCTGTGTGACTCTGGGAAAGTCTCTTCACCTCTCCCAAACTGTTCCTTCCATTCTGTCCCGAGGCCCGTGTCCTGCTCTGATAGTCTTTGGTGTATAATTTCTCCCTGCCCATCTGGGTCCCTTCGGCCATGCCCACCCTGCCCATGACACTTCCTGACTCAGCTCCCCAGGGACCAGACGAGAGGGTCCAGCTCCCCAGCCTCTGGACCCACTTGGTGATGGCCCTGAAAGCCCCAGGGGGTTTTCTTGGCTCTTCCCAGTTAAGTGAGTGAGGGAAGTGGTGTGTTGACTGGGCAGGTTTCTCTCTGGTTATATCTGTGTGCATATTTTAGTTTGGTTCAACTATGATTGAGTTGTGTGACTATATTTAGATGAGGGAGGAGACTCAGCTGAGACCAAAGTCTCTTCCAACTCTCAGCTTCTATGATTCTCAGCCCGCTTCTGTACCAAATCTCCAGCCCAGATGTTTCCCGGAGGAAGTGAAATGAGGTCAGCCCACAAACACAACTCAACTGCCCTTGGTCTCCCTGACTAGTACACTGGAGCCAATACGCCCTCTAGCCCCTGACTCAATGGAAGGAGGGGGAGAGGACCTGGTCACTCCAAATGGCTCTAGTCAACAGAATGAAGTCCGGAAGGTTAACACCTCCTGGTTATGTTCAGACACTGGCTCCGAGTTTTTCTTAAGCCAGAATATGAAACTCTCTCTAAATAGAGTGTCCTTTGCAGGACATCACGTTACTTTTCCATGTGACCCTAGGCAAGTCCCTTACCTTCTCTGGGTTTTGGTTTCCATATCTATAAAATGGGGGTGAGAGACTGTGTGATTTCCAAGGTCTATGTTCTATGTTCAATGATTCATTCTCATGTTCCAAGGGTCCCTGGATTCCCCTGAAGGGAACTGGAATCTACCACTTTTCAGAGTCTCCTGGTGGGGCAAAAGATCAAAGGCCTCAGATATTCACTGCCTGGGCCCTTAGCCACTCCAAACCCCTAGGGTCCAGTACCAAGAACATGAGGAGCCAGAGAGAAACAGACTGACAGGGAAATGGATGGTTCTAATCCTGGTTTCTCCTCTTGCACTTGCTCTTAGCCCACAGTGAAACCTCTTCTGCCACATGTTTCAAGGTCAGCCAGCTGAGCTATTTCTGACACCCTTTGGAAAGTGAAAGGCAAGAGGCACAGGAAGGAGGGTTTCCCAGTGGGGTATGGTCAGGGGATTTTGGAGAAGTTGGAGTTTCTTAGGTATAGTCAGAGACAGCCTAAAGCAGCTGGTAAGTGGACAGGCAGAACCTACTTTGCTGCTCTCTCTTGGTCTCGGATAGCAGCCCTAGGCCTATGGGATCTCTTGCCACCTGGCCCATCCCTGCCATGACCTGGAGGCTGGCTCTGGCTCTGAGCTGGGCCTCTATGGACACCAAAGGGTCTGGACCAAAGTGGAAGGTACATGGGGCAAGTGGGGGGATCTGAGAGGTGGTTTGTAGAAAGTGGCCTGCAGAAGAAAGGCCCTCTTTAATGGGCAGGAAATGGAAGAGGTCAGAGCAGGAGATAAGATAGAACTCAGGGAACCAGTGTCCCAACCTATCCTTGCCACCCAATCCTTATAACTTCAAGCAAGGATGGACAAAGACATGAAGTCAAGGAAAGCAAGGCTCTCCTCTCCCCTTTTCCCTTCTCCCACCT